GAACGCCCACCTCGGGACAGGTAACTCCTGAGCCCAGAAGGCTCTGCACCGCAGAGAGGTGTAGCGAGAGGAATTTGGAGACAGTTGGCCTATATTCAAATGGTAGTTCTTCCACATGGTAGTTTGTGACGCTGAGCAATCTAAAGTCTCTGAGCATGTTTCTTCGTCTTTAAAATGGAGACACTACCTTCAAGATTAAATTGTGTAACGCACGAAAAATGCCTAACACCTTTTTTTATTTTTAATAGAAGAGGGGCGTCTCTTTCTGTTCTCTCAATAAATCCTGCTTTCTCAACAAAAAAAAAAAGGGAAAAAGGAGGGTGAGTCTCAGCCGGACGGCGAGATGGCTCATGCCTGTAATCCCAGCACTTTGGGAGGCGGAGGCGAGAGGATTGTCTGATCCCAGAGGTTCGAGACCAGCCCGAGCAACTTGGCGAGACCTCACCTCTACAATAAAAAAAATTTTAAAAGCCGACTGTCTTGACGCACGCCTGTGGTTCCAGCTACTTGAAAGGCTGAGGCAGAAGGATCACCTGAGCCCAACAGGTCGAGGCTGCGGTGGCTGTGAGCATGCCACTGCACTCCAGCCTGGGCAACAGAGTGAGACTCAAAAAAAAAATTGAAGGGTGGGGGTGTCATTCTGTTGCCCAGGCTTGTCTTGAACTCCTGACCTCAAGCAATTCTCCCGTCTGAGCCTCCCAAAGTGCTGTGATGGCTGTTGGCAGCCACCACACTGGACCGAAAAATGACTAACACTTAGAAGGCACTGAATCATGCTCTTTTCGGCTCCTCAGCAGGGATTTTCCCAGCTTCTGAGTTTCTATAATATTGTGTGTACAGGCTAGGTATGGTGGCTCACGCCTATAATCCCAGTACTTTGGGAGGCTGAAGTGGAAGGATTGCCTGAGTCCATGGGTTCGAGACCAACCTGGGCAACTTGGCAAGACATCATCTCTACAATAAATCAAAAAAAGTAACCAGGCATGATGGTGCGTGCCTGTAGTTCCAATTACTTGGAAGGCTGAGACAAAAGGATCACCTGAGCTTAGCAGGTTGAGGCTGCGGTGGCAGTGAGCATGCCCCTGTACTCCAGCCTGGGCAACAGAGTGAGATTCCAAGCCAATAAATAAATAAATAAATTGTGTATATATATATATATATATATATATATATATGTTGTGTGTGTGTGTGTGTGTGTGTGTGTGTGTGTGTACAGCCACCTAGTTATCTTATTACCACGTAATGTTAATTGTTTGATGTGCCTACCTTGCCTCCCAACTGGGGGTAAGTGCCTGTGAAGCAGGAATCTTCCCTTTTACCTTTTTTGAACTTCCTCACAGCTCATCTCTTGTATCTTCAAAACAGAACTAGTATTTTCCCCGAAGAGCTGCTTCTTCCTTCTCTATTTCTTCTCCCTTCAGCAGTTTCCACCACATTCATATATTAACCATTTATAGTGCATCACTTTGTACCAAGTGTTGTGCAAGTACCTGAAGGTATAAAGAAGCCAGAAGCCTATTTGGGGCATGAACGGATGGTGGATACATTTAAATAAGTGCAACACAACGATACAGACATTAGGATTCAGGCCTGTAAGGGTGTGGGCACACACACAAAAAAGCAATCAGTTCTACCTGCAAGTGTAGTTAAGAGAGACTTCATAGCAAAAATGGCTCTAAATCTTGAGTAGGGTAAGGGAAGTAATTCCAGGCTGAAGGATCAATGAAATAAGCTCTTGTGTGAAGAGAAACTGTGAGAAGTTTGATAACACCAGCTAAGTGAATGCAAGAAAGGATATGATAAGTGATAAGACTAGAAGTAGAAGGAGCCAGATATTTGAGAGCCTTGTTTAGCACACCAAAGAGTTTGAACTTAATCTGTCAGACAATAGTGAACCACTGAAGGGTTTTTAAATAAAGAAGTAACACGATCATATTTACATTTTGGAGAGCAGATTCTGGTTGCAGGGCATAGGCTGGAACAGAGATGAGAGATTGAAGGCAGAAAGGAGCTCCAGTGCCAAAAAATCAGGGAAAGGAAGCTTAAAAATACACACACACACTTCTTGAAGAAAAATTATGCTGTTAAACTATTGAAGTTGCCTCTGAGGCATTGACAAGTTTGGCCTGAAATACAAGGTGGGGAAATGCTACACAACAGAATAGTAGTTCTCCATTTGGAGCCTCTACACCAAAAACTTGCTCCCTCTGTGACCATGGGAAAGTCACTTAACACATTTATGACTCGGTTTCCTCTCCTATAAGGATTAAATTTCTTGCCTTACCTGTCTTCTCCGCCCCCCCCCAAAACAAAGAAAGAAAAGAAGACTAGCATACCATCAAGATGTGAAAAGAAAATAAGAACATACATTTATTCATTCAATAAACATTTCTTGACTATATTCTACATGCCACACAGGGGTTCAGATGCAGACAATTAGAAATAAAGGATTGTGGCCAGGCACAATGGCTCACGCCTGTAATCCCAGTACTTTGGGAGGTAGAGGCAAGAGGATTGCCTGAGCCCGGAGTTCAAGACCAGCCTGGGCAACTTGGTGAGATATTGTCTCTACAATAAATCAAGAAAAATTAGCCAGGCTTGGTGGCGCATGTCTGTAGTTCCAGCTATTTGGAAGGTTGAGGTGGAAGGATTGCCTGCAGGCCGAGGCTGTGATGGCTGTGAGCGTGCCACTGCACTCCAGCCTGGGTAACAGAGTGAGACTCCAACTCAAAAAAAAAAAAGAAAGAAAGAAAGAAAGGAATGTACAGTCCTCAAAAGGAAGACAGGCGTAAACAAGGATACTAAATTAATCCTTCCACTTCTTCTTAGAGAAGTGAAGATAAACTTAATGAAGTACAAGGAATGATAATAAAAGCATTTATATGAATGGAAAATACCTTTTGAAAAGAGGTTGAAGGATGTGGTACCAAGAAACTAGAATAAGAGCTAGTATTATGTTTAGAGGATGTTCTCTGTTCCAGCGAAGAAACTAAATGTAGTAAAAGTTAAGAATAGCTCCTTGAGCCGGGCTCAGTGGCTCAGCCTATAATCCCGCGCCTTTGGGAGGCTGAGGTGAGTGGATTGCCTGAGCCCGCGGGTTCGAGACCCAC